TTATTATAATGTTTTTACGGATTAACAATTCATATGGAACATTTCCGTTATTGTATAAATTAATTTTTGGCATTCTTGCCTGTAATCCATCTAAATGTACAACCTATTTTAAAAAATTTTATTAATATTATAATATTATCATTTAAATAGAAAAAATAAAAACAAAAATATAAAAAATTACAAAATTAGGTCTAATCAGATGTTCCACTCTATCAACATCATCATTTCACACTACAATTTGGACTTTCCTCCCAAGACCATTACTGAGGAAAAATTTGTAAACTTTGTATTGTTGATTATTGCCAACAATACGTGGAGCTTCAATGCTGTCAATATAACCAACTATTTCACTGTTCAAATTTAAGAATTTTATATATTATTACTGTTATTATTTACATTTACTGTTAATATTAATATTATAGCTTGCGACCGCACTCACGAGCGTGGTGCAACTTCGTCGCTCGTCCGACCCGCGTAATTCCGCGAAAACGATAAAAGGAAATCTAATGCGCGATTAACCGTAACTCAGGCATCTCGCCTATCGAAAACGGGAATAAAGTTGGGCGCCAGGCACGTTATAGAGAGTGCCTCTCTACTGAAAAATCTCGTTGTTCGGAAATCTAATGACTTAAGAGAAAATTAATCACGCGATCAGGTGCGAATTCGATGCAGCGGTCGGACAAGGACGGCGATAACCGGTTGCTCAGTTACGATAATGGTAAAGGGGGTGATTCGAAAGAAAATGGTCAAGGTTCGGGGAGCGAGAATAGGCTGAAAGAAACGACAGTAATTAGTAACAATAAGAAAATAACAAGTGTATTGAGCGGACGAATATTACATTCAAAAATACAGACGAGAATACGGTAATCGACGGGAATACTTGAGACGCGCAACGATGCAGCGTACTCGGCGTGACAGACTCGCAATTCGCGCTTTTCACGATCGTACGACAAGATCGTGTCTCAGAAACGGAAAATTAAGAACGGTTTCTCTTTCGGCGGTACGACTCGCAGATTACATGCCCATCCGCGTGACATGCGAAATCATAAAGCATGCAGTGCGGGCGTGATATTCGCGGGTACGCCGGCGCGGAGCGCTCGGCGTACACGGGCAGCGTGATCGACACAGCGAAATCGAAACTCGGGAACTAACTGTCCCGCGGGATCCCGTGATCCCGGAAGTTCTCTCTAACTCCCGTAACGGGGGCACAAGGCCCTCTCGAAAACGCGAATTATCACACGCGCACAAGGACGGGAACGACACAATTACATGAAATGGCTTGGCTGTGGCGCTCGGCGGGCGCGTGGCGCGACGGTCCTGTAACAGAATATCTCGATACGCGAAGTCAGACGGGGCGCCGGGATATACGGAATCTTTATCGGCGATGGCCGAATCACAAAACGAGAACGACAAGTCTGAACGCGAGTTCCTCGCGGCCCGTCTGACACAAGTATAAATCGGCGGCTTTACATGAGTACGTTCGTCTCACCGAAAACTCCTCGAAATCGGGAACGGTAGCTCGTCTCGGCCGCAGCTGGATTCTCCGCGTACAATCAGTGTCTCTCACAAATTAAGGGCTCGTCCTGCGTCCTTCCACTACGCTAACCACAGCACAAGTGCCGGGTGCTGCTGCTTCCGTGAGCTCGGTGGGCCGGAGGGCCCACGTGGTATCTTCTTCCGCGCCCCTAATTGGCGGGCGTGCGAGCTCGCGACCTCCGCGAATCGCGCGAGGTGCGTAGCGCCGCGGGTCCTGTGTCCCTGCGCGCGGCATTCAAATTAGCGGCGGTATCCTTCTCGTCGGCAGTACCCCCAGGTGCGCCCCCGGGTTGGCACGCTCAGGCAGCTCACCCTCCGGAACAGATTATATTGAGGGGCCGTCCCTGGCTGCCGGTCTGATCCTCCGGGGCGCCCTGTCGCGTTGCCGACTACGGGGTCTCTCGCCCGATCTGGGGGCGTAGAGTGGCCATCCCCTTAGTCCTCGCCTTAGCTGACTCGCACCGGAACCTGGAACGAAGCTCGGCAGCTTAATTGCTCTCAAATGGTGTAAAGGAACGCGGACTCACATACGACCTGTATATGCTGCTTCTCCGTCCTGGTGGTCCTCTCCCTGTGGCTGCTGCGACGTCGGTGAGACGGGTGAAATATTACAAGGTCTCCGGGAGCCGCCGATACGCTAAGTTAAATAATCGAGGTCGCTACGGACTAAAAAGTAATTACGAACGATAATCGGTATTCGGGCGCGGGAGCCACGCAAACGCAGTCCCGCGGCCCGCGCCACGCGTCCGCCTCCGAAAATCGGAAGAACACAGGACTCGAAGCTACCGCCCGCGGTCGGGTCCGCAGATCCCTTGTGACGGACGGTCCAAAAAGGGACGTCCCGTCACAAGCTTCATTTATTTATTTAACCGTAGAAAACAAAAAATACAAATATTATATAAAAAATGGCACAGAAATCATGATATGTACATAATTACACGTATTGTATAATAGTTAAGTAATAACATACATATAATAAAAGA